TAACATAACCAATTGCATAAGATGTTGATTTGTTGTGTTAGTTCTTTAGTTTCTTCATTTTTTTTTCTTTTATTATTTTCTTTCGAAGTGTAATCAATTTACAAGAGGTAGATGATAGTTAATAATATCAAAACTAGACAAAAAATAACACCAAACTTCTAAAAATTGTTTGAAAATTGGTATTGAACTTATGAAAATTGAGAATTTTAATAAATTATGATAGCGATATTTGTAAATTGGTTAAAACTGGGCACTAACTTCTAGCATTCGTATTGAATTTATGAAAATTGAGTATTTTTATAAAAATATGATAGTGAAGTTTCAAAATTTAATAAGTAACTTTTAAAATATTGTGATAGTATATTTCTGAAAACTGGCAGCGAATTTTTAAAATTGACAATAAACATGTTAAAATTGAATATCTTAACGAAATATGACACTAAACTTTCAATAATTGGCTGAAAGATGGAGGGGAATGTTTTGAAAATTAAGTATTTTACCAAAATATAGCAGTGAAATTATGAAATTAGCTAAAAATTGATAGTGATGGTTGAAAACAAGTCGAAAAATTAACGGCTAAACTTTTTTTCTTTTTGAAAATTGACAGCAAATTTTTGGAAATTGACGAGCACTTCAACGTTGGACTTCCGCAAATAGACTTCGTGAACAAGGTGCGCCTTGCACTCTGCTCACACAAGCGCCCCAAACCGTTTGCATTTGAACTGTTCCTAAAGACTTTCAACTAGTAAAAATGTAGGGGTACTTTTTGTTATCTTGTAATAATATTTTATACGAGGACCTATTTGCTAATTGGCCGAATATTAAAAGGACTCAAAGTGTAATACTTTTACAAATTGGGGTATTTGAGAAATATGTGATCAATTAATCCACTTAATCCTCTATATATTTGCTAATTGTTACACACCAAATACAAAAATAAATTACTATAAGGGGATTATTTCCACTTTGTACCTTACTTAGCATATTGTCAACGATATGTGTATCTTCTTATTCAATGTGTAGAGATTTCGTTGACTTGTAAAAGTATAGTATATAATTTATTATTAATTAATACTTTCAATGACTTGCTTTTTTAACTATAGCATATTAAAAACTAGCAATCAAAGTTAATTGTTCTTTTATGTTACAATGAATTAAGATTTATTTTATCATCTCTTACTAGTATTTAACAATGATCAAATAGGTAATTATGTCATATAAGATTTTTTTTGGCCTATTGAATACTTAACTTCTTTAATTGGTTTGCATATTATATATCTTAAACCACATTTAAAAATAATAAATAGGAGAGATTAGTATATTTATTTTTCTTTTTCACTCATTTTCTTTTATAGTAAATGAGGATTCAAGAAGATCTCATACATTAGTTACATGAAATTAAACTCAGCCAAAGAGGCTTACAAATAGTTATTTCAGTAGATTCAGTTCCCCATTTGCATGTAGAAGCAAACGATGAAAAAAACATCATAACAAAACACAAAAAAAAATATAAAAAATTAATTAATTAATTAATTAAAAGAATAATAATTATTTCGGACTGTTTTTCCTTCAATCTGGAACATACCTTATTAATTGTTTTCTGATAAATATATTCAAACATTTTATTTTTAATTACAAATATATAATTAATATAAAAATGAAAATTTATTCATTGTTTCTTTAATACAAATAATACACAATGTTAAAAATTAGTAATATATTCATAATAAAAAATAAAAAATAAATAAATAAAGAAAGAAAACTCGTGCATTAAAATAGTGCGTTTGAGGTTGAATTCTCAAGAAGAGGGCTTGTCGAATCATATTCGAGCTAATAAAAATATAATTAAGCTATTTTTCTTTTAAATATGTAATTAAGCTTTTATTTAAGCCTTGATATATATATATATATATATATATATATATATATATATATATATATATATATATATATATATATATATATATATATATATATATATATATATATATATATATATATATATATATATATATATATATATATATATATATATATATATATATATATATATATATATATATATATATATATATGTGTATATGTATATATATATATA